AGTTGCCAATAGGAATGCCTCTGCAATCTCTAGTGATGAGCAACAAAGCCAATCCGAGGTAAGGCCTTGGTGCCTGTCTGTGTTTTGAGTTGCAACCAAGCTATTTAATCACTGTGAAATCACACACTCATTTATGTTGCAACTCGCCTCCCCCCAATTGCACATTGAGATGCAACTAGTTTCCATTCATATTAGCAACTAAATTGTAATTACTAGTGGGCAAGTCCATTTTTTTGTTGAATCCTGTGTTTGCATGCACAGACTTTTTATTTTTCATTTGCATAATGAGATGCAACTGTGACCCATCAAGATTATCAACCAGTGCATTCGCATTGTTGCAACTGTCACCATCCATTACTTATCACAACTTTCTTTTCTACACTTTTTAGGGAGACGCTCATCAGGAGGTAGTGGAGCACGATGCGTCTGATGGAAACCAGATTGACCAAGAAGAGCAGATTCTGCATTTGGTTTCAGACGCACCTGTACATGAGCAGGAAGGACCGGTCAGCTCGAACTTGATTGATGTAGGTGTTTTTTCAAAAGCTGCAATCCATATGAGTCTTTAGTTGCAATCTAGATTACACTCGTGTTGCAATCCATATTGTTTTGGGAAATTTCAAAAGCTGCATTTGGTTTCATACATGTTTTTTTTCTCTCGATATGTTTTCAGGAAACTCTAGCAGAAGAGGTTGTTTGCCCCTCTACACTTCCTGTTGCAATTGAACATGTTGTGAGCATGCATACTCTTCCTTCAGAATTTTTTCTCAATTCAGTTGTTATTTGGGTTGCAATTCATATTCTTATAGATTTTTTTTCTCATCAGGAGGTAGTGTAGCACGATGCGTCTGATGGAAACCAGATTGACCAAGAAGAGCAGATTCCGCATTTGGTTTCAAACGCACCTGTACATGAGCAGGAAGGACCGGTCAGCTCGAACTTGATTGCTGTAGGTGTTTTTTCAAAAGCTGCAATCCATATGAGTCTTTAGTTGCAATCCATATTACAGTTGTGTTGCAATCCATATTGTTTTTCATACTTTTTTTCTCTCGATATGTTTGCAGGAAACTCTAGCAGAAGAGGTTGTTTGCCCCTCTACACTTCCTGTTGCAATTGAACATGTTGTGAGCATGCATACTCTTCCTTCAGAATTTTTTCTCAATTCAGTTGTTATTTGGGTTGCAATTCATATTCTTACAAACTTTTTTTTCTCATCAGGAGGTAGTGGAGCACGATGCGTCTGATGGAAACCAGATTGACCAAGAAGAGCAGATTCCGCATTTGGTTTCAGACGCACCTGTACATGAGTAGGAAGGACCGATCAGCTCGAACTTGATTGATGTAGGTGTTTTTTCAAAAGCTGCAATCCATATGAGTCTTTAGTTGCAATCCAGATTATAGTTGTGTTGCAATCCATATTGTTTTTCATACATGTTTTTTTTTCTCTCAATGTGTTTTCAAGAAACTCTAGCATAAGAGGTTGTTTGCCCCTCTACACTTCCTGTTGCAATTGAACATGTTGTGAGCATGCATACTCTTCCTTCAGAATTTTTTCTCAATTCAGTTGTTATTTGGGTTGCAATTCATATTCTTACAGACTTTTTTTTTCTCAATTGAAACAGGAAGTTGATGCTTCGCATGCCTCAACTGATGAGCAACCAGTTGCGCCTGATACAGACACATGCAGAAAAGGAGGCAATGTAGATTATGTAGCTGGCCTCACATGCGATGCTCCTTCCCATGTTGGTCCACAGGAAGGTGGTGTACTGGAAAATCTAGATGTCCCGACGGTGCATGAGGTTCCACCTTCAGCTGCTGAGCCTTCAATTACATACACACGAAGGTATTCACGGATGTCTAAGGATGTTGAAGCTGAAAAGATGGAGAAGAAGCAGGCTGCTGTTGGGAAGAAGGCAGAGATTGATGACCAGAAGAAGCAGGTTGGTCAGAGCAAGAAGGGAGACAAAGAGTTGATGAAGCTTCAAGTTGAAATGGATAAACAATTAAAGCGCAATCAAGATGCTTTGAATAAAGACACTGTGCAGGCTCAGGAAGCTGCATCGAAGAGGATCAGTAAGATGTTGGCTACTCAAGCTAGAAAATAATATGCTGCCAAGCGCAAGAAGTATGAGGAAGATCTGGACAGGCTCCGCAACGAGGCTGATGTTGAGCTTGGTATATTGCACTCTACTATTCCTGAGGAGGCATGGTCTAGCTCATCTGCTTCACAGATTCAGTTCCCTGCAGAGTCTGAAGACGAGATTAGCAACTTGACACCACCAGTAAGACTCTTGCAGGAAGAAGTATCCGAAGGGTTGGTAGACTTCAGCGAGGTTCAAAGGTTAATTTTTCAGCGCCTTGGTGATAGGCTTTTGTTGAAGCCGAGGAAATATCTATCCCCTTTCGTTATCCGAAAAAGCCGGCTTGACGTACCTCTTGCCAAGGCGATTGCATTGAGGAGGAAGATCGCCGCTGATGATGAATTGAAATGGTATGCTCGTGCACTCTATTTCTTTTTATGTTGAATTTTGTTATTGTACTGAGTAGTTGCAAACTTAATGCCCTGTATGTTGCAATTTCTATGATGGCACTGTACGATTGCAATTTTTGTATTTTTTTCTAATTTGTTGTTCCTAATTTGATTTTCTAGTTTTATTCTTGTAGTACTGGACTGCCTGCTTTAGTTGCAGTTGTAATACTCTGTATCTTTTGCAATCTATGATGCAATTGTCTGTGTGTTTGCAATTGCATTATCATCGGTTGCAAATGTAATAGCTTGTATGTTGCAAATGTAATACCCTGTATGTTGCAATTATTGTCTATATGGCACCATATGCCCTAGTGTTTTGTATGATTTTTTTTTCAAATGTGTTGTCCCTTAATTGATTTGCACTGTATGTTTTTTTTGCAGTACTGTCTTGATCGAGTTTGGTCTTTTCTGTACCCTTACTGGTGAGGGCCTGCTTTCCAACTTTGCTGATGAAGCACAAGGAGAGATTATGGTGGTCGACTTTTTGGTCCACTGCTTAAGACACGATGATATTGTTCACAAAGTGGATTCTGTCGGCTACAGGGTGTTCCTCACCACTACTTGCTTTGTGAGTTATTTTGATACATTGTTTTTCGTCCATCCGTATAATATTTTATATTTTTTCTGGCAAAACAATGCCCTCTGATCGCTTAAATTATTTTTTCATTCTTTTTTTTTTCAGTTTGCTATTTCAGAGTGTCCAAGAATTTTGAATGATAATTCATCTGAGACGGCTGAGTTTATTGAAGTGTGGAGAACTCTTGAATCTCAGCTGCAGCACTATGATCTGTCCAAGGCAAAACTGGTTAGCAGTCTCCTACACACTCTACTTTTTTTGTTCAATACACTAGCAATCCAGCATCACTGCCAGTAGCAATTATTGTATGCCAAGATATGCAACTGACATTTTGTTAAACTTTTTGTTTGTTGTTGTGTGCGCGTTTCATTGGATAATTACTCTAGCTATTTTTTTGTAGATATTTGTTCCAATCAGGGATGGAATTCACTATTTTGTTTACTGCTTCAACATGTTAGATGTGCTTGATTCAAACAACTACTTCTTGAACTGCACCGACAAACTTGATCGCCACGAGGCTGTTTTTGCCAAGATCCCCATCATCGATGCTGCATTCCAGAAGGTCTCGAACTGGAAACTTCCTCGAGTCCACAGATGGAAGAGGCCTTTTATTAATGTAACTAAGCAGACACTCCTCAACGATTGTATGTTCTTTATCTGGAAGTACATGGAGTACTATGATGGGGGGAAGCTAACTAAGGAAATCAACCCGGTAAGCTTCATTTCTACCACTTTTTTTTATCTGTTTTTATTTTTGCATCTTTTTTCAGCTTGTTTTGTTACCTGACATGTGTACTAACTTTTTCAAATTCCTCTGTTCTTTTTTTTGTTTGGTCTTGTAGTTCAAGGGGACGATTTACAGGTGCGAGCTGATGCACTACCTAACATTCCATCCCCTCAATCAAGTTGATCTTCCTGCCTCGCTTGATATATTTAGAGTTGGGGGACGACGGATTGAATGGGACAGTGGTAGTAGTCAGTAGAACATTTTCTGTTCGTTTGTTTTTAACATGATGCATATGTGGCTGGTGGAAGTCAAGTTGTGCAGAATCATAGATGTTGCTAAAAAACTGTTAGAAATCTGTGCAGAATGTTAGTTGTGTATATTAGCGCTCTAATGTAGCTCATTGTGTATACACACTTTGGTGCTGTGCACTTTTGGGGGGCAGGGAACTATGTAATCACGTCTGGTACCAGGGCATTTTCAACTGGCATAGCGAATCGTATTCCATCTCGGCTATCAAACGAGTCGTGTCTGGTACCAGCAGAGTTGCAATTTGTGTATGATTAAAGTTGCAATCGAATGATTGTCTGAGTTGCATCTAGTATGCAAACACATGTGCAACCAGACGTCCATCGCAGTTTAATTCCGATATCACTGTAGGCGCAACTGGCCACCACCATGGTTGCGGTTTGCGCACGACGGAAGTTGCAATCGGCTGACGGGTTTGCAACTAGCAGTTTTGCAACTGGCGTACCTAACCGGAATGCAACTGTCATATCACTCGATTCGCAAGTGGTATACAAACGGTTCAAGGGTTGAGTTGCAACTGGTATATAAACGGAGCTACAAGCAGCGGTCCAGGGTAGTTGCAAATGGCCTACCCAACCGGAATGCAACTGTTTTATGACGTAAGTTGTAATCGGCTGACGGTCTGAGTTGCAATCCGAGGACATCTGAACTCATCATTTTTGCACACATTATAATAGTCACGGCTTAGAGTTTTGCAATTGGAATGACAACCAGAGTTGCAATTTGTAGGTTGTAGTACACGCGGATTCATTCAGATTCAGTTGCAACTTTTTTTTTGTTATTGGAAAGAAAACAAAATAAATAATAACATTATTTATGGGGGAACATGTAGCTACATGATTTTAAGTACACGTGGAGATTCATTCAGATTCATAGTTGTTGCCATCACCGTCCTCACTATGGTCCCCTTCTTGTTCTTCATTCTTTTCCCTCTGTGTTTTTGGCCGACCTCTCTTTCTCGGAGTCCCACCTTGTGTTTTGGCAGCCCTCTTTTTTTTTCTGTTCTCTGCTGCTCTGCTCCTGTTTGGGTTTAGCAGGCATGTTGTGATGTAGTGTCCAATAACATTGCATGTGTGGCACACTTTTTTCCCATAACTCCTCATGTATGTGCTATAAGGATTATTAGTTCCCTTTATCTTTTCAGCACATTGACTTTCCTTGCCAGATTTTCTACCTTTTGTGCGTGACACTGGTGGCTCAACCAGTGATATACCAGCAAGGAAGTTTGTAGAGGTTGGATCAAGGTTGATCTCAGCCTAATTTTCATTTGTCTCCACAACAGTTGCACTACAATCCAACGTCAATGCAGCAGCATCAACATTCTGGATTGTATCAACAGCTTGCAACTCCCCACTTTCCAACCCTGTTGAATTGGTTGGATGCATAGAAGAATTAACTTCTGTGGCTTGGAGAAGCTCAATTCCAGGAGTGATTCTATCTAGATGTCTCACAGTTTCAGCGTAAGCTCGATCTGTTTTGCTCCCTGCTCTGCCCAGCCTCATTAACTTGGGTAGCAGTTTTGACATCCGTGACTGCTCTGTGTCTCCTCACGGCCCAACCTGCACAACATCATGTCTGTCCCATGGAACCAGAGATCTTACATCACGCGTGTATCGTTTGTAAATGTACTTTTTCGGTATGCTCTGCACCTGCAGGTGGGTGAATGCCCTTATGATGTGCATGCAGAACAACCCTGCATTTTTCCAGTATATTTTGTTTAATACACAGAAACACCCAGGTACATTTGATGTGCAACTGGATAGGTATCAAGGTTGCAACTAGCTTACCTGTGTGCTCCCACTGTTTGCATTCGCATTCATACACTCCTGCTTTCTTGTCAGCCACCACTTTAAATGCATGTTGCGCCCAGCAGAAGCTCCCCGCGCCCTTCTCATGCCTCACCAAATAACCATTCCTGACTTCTGGATCAGGATTAGGTTCTATGAGAAATGCTATGCTGTTAGCATATTCCCTTTTGTATTCCTGGTACACAGCTCTCGTGTACATCCTGCTGAGCTGCTCATCAAACCTTGATTTGCAAGCTCGGACGACCTCAGCCCGCACAAAATTCTTTTTTGTGATCAAGTTGCAACCAGCAGCAGGAATGATTTGTTATTTTTTCTAAAAATAACATACCTATGAGTAGTGCGTCTCACCAGCATCCATGTGGTCTGTGTGCTGAAGCGAGTCAAGCACCCTCTTCGCAAACGTGTGCAGGGTTGTAGTGTTGTTAACATAACCATCCTTCAAGTACCCTGTTCTGGCTTTCTGATCTCTGCGTGGATGTCATTCTGCCGCAGTACATCCCCTTGAAGTATGTTGCAATCCAGCTCTTCCTCTTTTCCCAGAGTGCATTTATTGCTGGGTTATCAGCTATCTCACACTCATGCACCAGCTTGTTCCACTCCTCCTCAAACTGTGTAGGCCCTAGTGGATAATTTATTAGAGATTCCAGCCTCTCCTTCAGGTTTTAATCTTTGTGTTGTATGTACAGTTTGTCGAGCTCGTATTCCCACACCCTTGTGATATGCCATCTGCAGTTTCTATGTTGCGATTTGTCGAACACTGTCCTTATCGCTTCTCTCATTGCTGCATCCTCATCTGTGGTAGGCGCACAAAAAAAAAAAGATATACACAAACATATCTATCAAACAGCAGTTTCCAAAATGAACCAGCAATACAATAGGGTTGCAACCCATACAACATCTAGTTTGCAGCAGGAGGATCCAATTTATTGCATTTGTTCAATTATCAAGTTTGCAAACCAGGAATACATTATATGCGCAATTGGAGTAAAAGTTATACCTGTCAGGATCACATAGGGCTGGTGCCCCCCATGCAGTTCTTGAAAGTTTCAAACAACCATTTGAATGATTCAGTTGTTTCGTCCCGAAGCAGAGCTTGCCCAAAACACACATTCTTCAGGTTGTTATTGGCCCCCACAAACATGCCTAGCGGCATGTTTTTTCTATTTGTTTTGTGGGTCGTGTCAAAGGTGATCACATCACCAAAGTCCTTGTATTCAGCTCTTTGACTAGCGTGGCTCCAGAATATGCTCCTGAGAACCTTTGTTTTCGGATCAAAATCCACGTCAAAGTAAAAGTACTCGTTGCTTGTCTTGCATTCTCTAAAAAACTGAAAAAGTTTCTCCAGATCAGCATCTTTTTCCTCCCTTGCTTGCTCAGCATTCCTGGAACATAAAAAGAAATTAGTAAATTATTTTTTTTGCAGCTATGAGCATACTTTTTTTTCTTTTGGAATTTTTTTCTGGACTTAGCACACATGGACATACATATTTTTGACATCTTTCTCTGTGAACGGGCAGTTTTGACGGCCACCATATAGCTCGGACATGACATTCATCGCAGCCTGGTGCGCTACCCCATTCCTTGCCATGATAGCAAATAGGTCATCCAGCGCTGCGTCCCTTTGTTTGTGAATATGCATGTACCTGACCATCCTGGGCGACAGGTGCAACTTGTGGTTGTGTGCTTCCTCAACATGGTCGAAGTACCATTGGTTGCCTTTCTTATCTTGCTTTACCTTAGCATATGCAGGGCGGCCGACTCTCTTTGATGTCTTTTCAATCTGTGGTTCGTTATTCTCTTTATCTATTTTTAGAAACCCCTCTCGGTTGCAAACCCAGTCTGCACTCTCCTTGCTAGTTCTCTTCACCCTCACACTGAACCCAGCCAATCTTGCATAATCACAGTAAAATTCGTAGGCTTCTTTTTTTGTCTCGAATGTCTGCCTCACCCTTGGGATAAATACATCTAGTATGTTTGGATTCTGCAAAAAAAGAAAATACGTGGTGCTAAATACAAATGAATTCTGGTGCATAACCAAAAACAGATAGAGTTGCAATTACAGTATCACATCTAGTTGCAATCAAACCAGAACTCATGTTGCAATCCTTCATGTGAAAAATCCAAATGTTGCAATCACAGATAAATAATGTTGCAATTCTCATCATTAGTTGCAATCACAGTACAACCCCTAGTTGCCCTCTCAGATAGAGTTGCAATCACACCACTAGTTGCAATCAAACTATAAATAATGTTTCAATTCTCATCTGAAGTTGCAATTACCAGTAGTTACATGCATGTACGTCACAGATAGAGTTGCAATTTATTTTAGTCGGTAGTTGCAATCAAAGTACAACTAATGTTGCAATTCTCATGTGAAGTTGGAATCAACACATCTGAAGTTGCAACATACGTCAGGCATAGTAGTTTATTGTAATGACAGATGGAATTGCAATCACAGTGCATCCACTAGTTGCATGCATGTACGTCACAGATAGAGTTGCAATTAGTCCCTAACCATTATTTGCAATCATACTACAACTAATGTTGCAATTCTAAAATGAAGTTGCAATCAACACATCCGAAGTTGCAACATTTTTAGGCACACCAGTTTATTCTAATCACAGATAACAGCACCGCCAAATCAAAAATCATGCGATCCAGGAGGAATCGGGGGTGGAAATCGCAGTTGCAATCAGAAGAGATGCTCACCGGGTGGAATCTCTGACCAGGATCAGGAGTGATTAATGCTCCAGGAGGAATCGATGCGGGTGGCGTCAGATTAGTCATGTGATGCAAGGCATCACCCGATCCACGGGGGATGTCCGCTCTCACGACGAGCGTGCTCATCGGCGGAACCGGAGGAGTTGCGGCCGCAGATGTAGCCGGTGCCGGAGACGATGCGATCGGATCTCCACCGCTCGTGACAACAATCGCCAGTTGCTGATCCATCTGCTCTGCTGGAAGTGGCGATTCAAGTCGGGGTAGCGATGGCGGGGCCATGGGCGCAGCGCAACTTGGGGTAGCTACGACGGTGGCGAGGGAAGTAATTGGGCGAGATTTGGCGACGACGGTGGCTCTGTTATCTGGGGCGAATCAAGGGAAGTGGCGAAAATTTGGAGGCTCAATTTGAATTTGGAGCCAGGAGAGGAAAATGGTGGTTTCCTTTTAGGGGGCTCTCAAGATAGCTAGAGTCTGGTAAGTCTCGCGCTCGCCGCTCGCCACGCTCGGCGCGTCTCGTGGCTCGCGCTCGTGTGTCGGGTGCACCCACTTCACAGAATGCACCTCAGGCCAACCGGCGTGGCTTGTCTGGGCAACCGGCCCAACTAACCCACCAGAGTTGGAGAGGGTCTCCTGCGGGCGTGCCTGGCGCGTGGACCGCAGGGTTAGAGAGGGTCTGTGCACTCGTTGCACGGAATGCAACTGGTCTATCACACGAGTCGCAACTGGTCTAGCACCAGAGTTGCAATTTGTGTACGACTGAAGATGCAATCGGCTGACGGGCTGAGTTGGAACTGGTATACAAACGGAGCTGCAACCAGCCGTCCAGGGCAGTTGCAACTGGCCTACCCAACTGGAATGCAACTGGCCTACCACCAAGGTTGCAATTTGTGTACGACAGAAGTTGCAATCGGTTGAAGGGATGAGTTGCAATTTATGTACGACTGAAGATGCAATCGGCTGACGGACTGAGTTGGAACTGGTATACAATCGGAGCTGCAACCAGCCGTCCAGGGCAGTTGCAACTGGCCTACCCAACCGGAATACAACTGGCCTACCACCAAGGTTGCGATTTGTGTACGACGGAAGTTGCAATTAGTTAAAGGGATGAGTTGCGGCTGAGGGGCGGCGCCCGGGGCCTGTACAAGCGCGCGGGGTCTCGGGATATACAGGCGCGCGGGTTAACCAGGTCGGACTCCGTGCCGGTACGGCTCGCGCTCCGCACTCCGCGTGTCTCGCGGCTCGTGGTCGGGTGCATTTTAGCCTCGTCATATATATATATATTGCAAAATAAACTAGAGTACGTAGCTATCTAGCTGTAGTAGATTGCGTTGGATTGAGTTATAAGTATATCTTTGTGTTTTATTTAATAACTTTCATACGTAAAATTGATCGACCTGTACATGCAGTTCTTGTGGAGAAGATACTCCGGGTGCAGCCTGATGCCAACAATATCTACCTTCTTGTACGAGTGACGGACGCGTCATCTGCAAAGCAACGCGTCCAGGAAGAGGTTACTTGACTCTGCATGCACTTCATTTGTCTCCTTGCCTTAGAATGCCCGTTATTAACCGGAGGCCGGAGGGAGTGTTACAATTTTGAGCAACTACTAGTAGGTGGTGTGATACACACTGAGTCACTGGATCGGAATTGGGTTAGCATTCACTAGTAGAGAACAGATCTTTCATCCGATGTTAAAATGGGCTCTAGTCCCGGCATTTTTTATGCCCGGGACTAGAGAGACCTTTAGTCCTGGTTGGTGTCTTTAACCGGACTAAAGGTCCCTGCCCAACGGCTACTGCGCTCGGCACAGTGGCAGAGGACCTTTAATCCCGGTTAGAGACACCAACCGGGATTAAAGGTGGACCTTTACTCCCGGTTGGAGCCACCAACCGGGACTAAAAGTCCTCAACCTTTAGTCCTAGTTGGTAACACCAACCGGGACTAAAAGTAGACCCTTTAGTCCGGTTGGTAACACCAACCCGGAGTAAAGGACCCTTTAGTCCCGGTTGGTAACACCAACCGGGACTAAAGGTCCTCCGATGGGTTAGTTCAAAAGGGAAGCATCCCATCCATTGTTAGATGTGTTGTGTAGGTGGGGTGGTAAGCTACGCGCGAGGCAATGCATGGGGTCTTGGGTTCGAATCTCACGGGACGCAGCGGTGGGAGACATTATTTTTTTTAAAGCTGGGAGGACCTTTAGTCCCGGTTGGTGTTACCCAAAGGACCCCCTTTAGTCCCGGATGCTTACTCCCGGGTGGGGAACCGGGACTAGAGGGGGTTCCCCACCGGGGAGGGTTCCCCACCGGAAGTAAAGCTCTGTTCGCTACCAGTGTTGCCGGCACCATATTGTACTAAGGAGTATCTACTAGGTAGCTCCCTATCTAGCTCTTCACTACAACATATACATGTTAGTTGACGACTACTCTCTCCATCCTAAAAAGATACAATTCCAAAATATTGCTAACAAATTTGACCATTTATAAAAAATTACTAATACCTAACATATACCAAATAAATATTATTATATTTGTCATGAAATATACTTTTATAGTGCAATTGTTGGGTCATATATGTTCACACTATTTCATATAGAAACTTAGTCATCAAATTTAAAATATTGAGTTTAACCAGACTTAGAATTACTATATCCTTTTAAGATAGAAGTAGTAGTACTGTGACTTACTCCATGTTTTCATAATTTTCATGTGCGCATGCGGCGGGTGTGTGGGTGGGGTATTGCATTAAGCAAGGGATAATTACCGGCCAACAACTAACAATGGCCAACAACCTACTGGCTAGCTTTTTATTAGCTATAGCTTTCTATAAGTTGTAAGATCCAAATAGTACTTCCTATTATGGCCCTGTTTGCAGTGATTAGCTAGGACTAGTGATTAACTGACTAGTAGTTAATTGATTAATGATTAGTTCAGTCCTGTTTGAATTTCTGGGCTAATAAGTACTACTATTTCAACACAAAGTCATTCGTACCTGAGTTTGTTTTGGTAGGTCAACTTCCCGCGCATGGCCACATGCAGTTCCCGTTGTGTGCTTGCTCACCGGATTTGTTTTTTACGATTTGTATGCTTGCTCGCCGGAATGGGCGACCAGTGGTTGCGCGGCGTGGAGGAATCGGCGCGGGTGGCCGTGGAGGCGCCGGGCGAATAGGAATCAGCGGCGCGGGTGGCAGTGGAGGTGCCGAGAGAGCAGGAATCGACACCGGGCAAGCAGGATTCAGCGTCGAGCGAGCAGGAATCTGTGGCGTAGGTGGCAGAGGCAGGCTATTGGCGCGGCGGAGGCCGGTCAAGGGCTCGCGCGAAGCAGCTACGGCCGCGTCGGAGGCTGGCCACGAGCACGAGGGCGAGATGCACGTGGCGGCGCGGAAGGACGCAGGAGGGGGGGAACCGAGCGGTCGAGCGGATAGGGTCTCGTGGGGGAGCGGTACCGGTGTCTTTTTGTGATGCACCGGAACTTTAGCCCTGATAGTTGGTTTCGATGCACCAGTGAGCTAACAAGTAGTTAGTGTTTTGGTTAAACTTTAGATCATCCATTAGTCCACCTATTTAGATTCTTAAGGACTAAAGTTAGCAACTAGTTGTTAGCCCAAAGCATCCGAACATGCTTGGTGTTTTACTAGCTAGCTATAGCCAACGACTAACAATTACCGGGTCTTCTTTTATTAGCTATAGCTTTCTGAGTAGCTTTTTATTACAATGCTAATTTAAGTGCTAAAGTGCATGTCATGATGCATGGGCTATTGGAACTGATTTTAAAAAAAAAACAGAGGCGATTGTTTTGGGAAGGAGGGAGTACGTGTTTACTGATGCGCTGGCTTCTTTTAACTCAGTATCTTCGAAGTGCAATAACATTTTTACAACCAAAGTGATGTAACTACTAACAAGAGGTCATGACGATACATTTTAAAAATGACCAGATGAAGTCTACAATCAGATCATTGTTTTTCCGTTTGACGGAAAATATGTGGATGTATATCTACGTTCAAGTGTGCTTCAGACGCTTCTATATATAAAATATTAAGGTAGAATACTTCAACCTTGTTGGTTTTGTTAAATTTTCCAAACTCCGACATTATGCTTGGGTGAGGAAATCTTTTAACAACACGCAATTCATGTGCATGGGTGTGGCCTACGAACAAATTCTAACGGGTTGGTTGGTTTGAGCGATGGTTGTGTGTCAACCACCGAGCAAAAGTTTTAATTAGTCACCGACTCACCGATCGTCCTCTGCGCCGACGCGTTCCTAGCCGCAGCTGCCAGTAGGAATCCATGACACGGGATCCCAATCTTGCAGTACGTCAAGGCAGGATCTCCCTGATGGTAGGGTTGGTGTTCTTTGGTGGACGAACCATGCATAACCTAAGGATGGAGTGGGCTGGGTTGACCTAAAATCCAAAGAGAATTTACTGGGTAGATAGGGTAACCAAATCTAACCCACTTAGGTGCCCGTTTGAATCAAGGGATTCCGAGAATCCGGATAAAAATAATCCCAATAATTTTATTGGATTTTGAGATTCTAAAAATTTGTGAATTAAAATTCCTCTAAAAGTTTAGGCCGTTTGGATGAGATACTATGATTGTGAGATTTTTTTCTATCCATATTCTCAAAATAGGAATTCACACGGGGCCTTACATCCCTACCTGCCCTGTATGGTTGAGTGGCTTTTTGTGTATAAATAGATGCGCGTATGTGACCTCCTTCTTGGGTCTCTCCTAGCCTCCAAGTCTCACTGCCTGCTGCTGCTGGGATAGCTTGGACGCACCACCTGCAGCACCATAACACTGCTTGTCCTCTCTCTTCTCTTTCTAGCTCCCTGAAGCAAAGAATCAAGCGTACGTGATCGATGATGTACGAGTACGACAGCATGGACGCGGCGAGGATCGTAGCGTATTTTAAGGGCAAAGAGCATCCTCATCACCGGCTCAACTGGCTGTCTTGGGAAGAGTATGTTATATGCCGTCTCTCCTGCAAACTAATTAAAGGAGTAGCTAGTGTAGCTTGCATTGTGTGTTATTGAGTTTATCTTGTGTTTTACTTTACATATACATATATATTATATAAGTGACTTTGTACATGCATACAATGCATGCAGTTCTTGTGGAGAAGATACTCCGGGTGCAGCCTGATGCCAACAAGATCTATCTTCTTGTACGAGGGAAGGACGCGTCATCTGCAAAGCAACGCGTCCAAGAAGAGGTCATTACTTCACTTTGCTTACACACTTCTCTCTTGCTTTACAGCGCCTGTTAACCGCGCAGCAGATG